GAGTGTATACACATGTGAGTAAATGTAAAAATGATTAAAAAAAAAAAAGGCAGGCCACATGGTCAGCATAGCCAATCTAAGCTTGAGCACTGACAGCGGCCTGGTCCCTCTGCCTCGGTGGGTCTGGGGCCTCAGGTACATGTGCCTCTGTGCACTGGCCTAGTGCTCCCCAGGGCAGGCTCCGGGGCAGTCACACCTGGCAGGTGAGCAAGGTCTTGAGCACATGGTCACTGCCTGCAAACTCCCTCTGGTGACTGGAACCACACAAGAGAATCAGGAACAGTGATTTTACTTATTTTATTTGGTACAGGGCCTGAAGCTTACAAGGCAGGTGCTCTGCCCCTTGAGCCACTCAGCCAGCCCCTGGCTGTATTTTTCAAATGGTTCCAGCGGACTGTGGCTGCAGTCCTGGACATACTGAGTTGAATGGCTGACTATGAAAGAGCCCCTCTTTTCAACCCTGACACTCGAGCAGCCCCTGCACACACAGGGCTGTGCAGCTGACACCTGGACTTCAGGTGATAACTAGAGGTGGTGGCAAGTTCCCAGAGAAGCCATGAAACCTCATGAGCACAGCACCTTCCTATCTGCTCTTCTCCCTCCTGGTGGGTTGGCTCCAGCATTGTAAACATGAACCCTGTCGCCTGTGGGCAGACCCTCCCAGACAGAAGCAGGGAGAGCAACTAGGAAATAAAAGGGTGATTGTGGCAAAGTCTCTCCTTTTTCCTACAATAAAGAGTAAGGATTTTTAAAATTATGATAACCATAATTATTATTGAGAAGAGGAAATATAGCAGTAGCAGAGGACTTTCTCTGCTTTTCTTTCAGGTTTGCTTTTCTTTTCCAGCCACTGTCTGTGATCCATTTTGTGTGTGTGTGTGGGGTGGGGGGTGTTCCTAGTGTTTGAACTCAGGGCTTCATTCTTACAAAGCAGGGCACTCTGCCTCTTGATCCATATCTCCAGTACTTGGGGTGTTGTGTGTGTGTGTGTGTGTGTGTGTAGCTGGGATTTGAACTCAGAGCTTCACTCTCCAGAACTAGCACACTTTGGCTTGAGCAATGCCTCCAGTCCATTTGCCCTGGCTATTCTAGAGAAGGGGTCTTCCGAACTATTTGTCCGGGCTGAACTTGAATGGCCCAATCCCAGCCTCTCAAGCAGCTAGGATTACAGGTTTGAACTGCCTGCTTCTGGCTGATACTTGGTATTTCAATCTTCTGGAAATTCAGAGAATTTGGTGGCTCACTGTATCAGAAAAAAGGAAAGTCTCTGGTGTAGAGGGATCCCACCAGACAACATGTTTCTGTAAGTATGTGGGTGACTTCACTGCTGTTGCAGTGATGGAGGAAAGAGCCTTCTTTTGGCTGCACATCTATTGATAATAATTTTCTCCCCTAAAATGAGAGATCCTGATGGGCTGGGTGTCAGAGAGCTTGACAAGCATGTGTAAGTCCCTGGGTTTGATCTCTAGCACCAAAAAGAAATAGTCTTTACTCTCATTTCTTGCATGGGGAGCAAGAAGTGTTTCTTCCCCCCCTCCCCCCATTTCTCCCTATTTCATCCCATTTTACTAAAAATAAATCCTTGCTAAAACTTAAAAAGAAAAAGGAGAAAGATGGATGGATTGATACATAGCTGGTAGAGTGACTCAAGGTGTAGGCCCTACACCAGTACTGAAAAAAATAAAAACAGTAACTTGGAGTAAGTCAAAAGATAGATTTAGAAAATGTTGAGCTTCCAAATGACCACTCTAAGGCTGACAGAGTGGCTCAAGTGGTAGAGCATCTGCCTAGCAAGCAAGAAGTCCTGAGTTCAAACCCTGGTACCACCAAAAACAAAAAAAAAGGTAAAATCACAGAAAACAAATTACAACAACAACAACAAATAATAGGCACACAAAACTGAGTTGATTTTTGGTTCATCATTGACCAGCTGTGTTGGCACTGGTGGGGACTCACTACCCTGTTCTTGACAAATGTCCAGACTGCAGATCCCATTGCCCTCTGGCTGCCCTGTCCCAGCTGACCACACAGTGTTGTTATTAACAGTGTGGACACTGGAGTAAGACTGTCGTAAACTGTAAGCCCAGGGACATGGCTCCCAGCATGTAACTGCCCTGTACCCCAACTTCCTCCACTAGATAACGGCAGAATGGATCAAATAGAAGGGTTGTGGAAAAACCTAAACCACTGAGACCACAGAAAGTGCTGTTTTCTACTAAAACAGGTTTTGCAACTTGTCAGGCCCAGGTTCACACAGCTGTGATTCAGCCAGGGAAGTGTCTCTTTTTTTCTTTTTTAAGATCAGGTACAGCTAGTCAAGCATCTGTAGCTCATGCCTATAATCCTAGTCACTTGGAAGGCTGAGATTGGGAGGATCAAGGTTTCAGGTCAGCCTGGACAAATAGTGTGTGAGAACCCATCTTTAGCCTCACAAAAATCCTGATTAGAGCAACTTAAATTGTACTTTTAAATTTTCACTTTGTCTTCATGAATCCTGTCTTCCCTATTTTTTTCTTTTTCACTTTTGTGGCCCCAGCACCTAGCACAGGGATTGATAATAAGAGACATTCAATTTGCTGCTAGAATAAATAGATGGCATTACTAGTATGTAACTTTTTTGGTTGGGGAGTGAACAATTCACTTGGTTTTGGGCCTCAGCTACAGCATGTCATGTAATAATTGTCAAGCACACCTTTGACCGTGACTGCATGAGACCATCACGTTCAGAGACCCACTTGAGGAATACATGGTTCTCACCTCTCTAATTCTAGGCTGTGGATAGAGATGCTGGTTCCCAAGAGAAGCCCTTTTACAATGTGTACCATCATCCTATGAAATTTTAAGCTGTGGCCACCACCATGTACTTCAGGCTCCTGCCAAAAGAACAGCAGACCAAAGACAGCATCCCAGTGGGGGGGATGTGACCTTGGTCCCGAGGAGGGAGGGCTGCTGTTACACCTGGTATGACAGCAGATACTGCTTATCCTCCCAATGTTCAATTCCTTATGCTGTCCAGACACAGGGCTGGACCTCCCAGATTGCTACTGCACCATGAGCATTTTTCCTTGATTTTCTTCTATTTGTTATCAAAAAGCATCCAATACTAGCAATGAACATCACACTGTAAGCAGCATAGAATCCTAGAGTATGCAGTGTTTCTTGATGAGCTCCCCCTGCCAGGCTCCATGAGAGCACCACCTGGCATGTCATTAGTGGTTTCAGATCACAGTCCTTGGCTCTGTTGATTCTGAACCCATGGTGGGGAAAGCATGACAGACACAGACAAGAAGCAAGGAGCTGAGTTTTTAATGAACTTTCTTTCATGGAAGTCACACTTGTATACAGAAAGAGGTAGAATTCATTCATGTATGCCTTGATGAATTATCACAAAGAAAACAACTCAGAAATCACTGAGGTGTAAAGGAAATAGAAATCACCAGCATCCTCCCTCCCCCTCAAATCCTTCAGTGTCCAGTCTTAGGATCAAGATATTTATCCTAACAGCAATAAAAAGTGGTAAGTTTTTTAAGCAAAGGGGGGATGGATTTTTTTCTAAAAAAAAGAAAAGAAAAAAAATTCCTGAGCTGGTGGAGTAGCTCAACCCCTACCTAATAAGGGTGCTGTCCTGAGTTCAAAACCCAGTACTGTTAAAAACAAACAAATAGAAAAGCAGCACATGGGGTGGGGGGAGAAGAGTGGCACTGAATTAGGACAAAAGAACAGAGATTCAGGTGAGAAAAGCTGTCCTTATTTGGGAGATGGAATCCAGATTCAATGACGAAGTGTTTTCCATGTGGATGAAGGAATTAACACACTGTGAAATAGGATGGGTGCCTGCAATCCTAGCTGTACAGGAGGCAGAGATCAGGAGAATCAAAGCCAGCCCTAGGAAAATAGTTCTAAGACCCTATCTTAAAAAAACCCATCACACAAAAAAAGGGCTGGTAGAGTGGGTCAAGGTGTAAGCCCTGAGTTCATACCCCAGAACTGCAAAAAAAAAAAAAGGTAAATCCTCATTTTCTGCAGAAATAAGCAGTTGTGTCAACTAATGTACAAAATAGAAAACAGAAAAATAGAGCAATCCACTGGAAAGGTAGGCAGGTGATAAACATGACATTTAAATAACAATTTAAACAGCTTTAAGTGATTAACTTCACTTAAAAACTATAGGTGATTTTAAAACAATTTTTTTTTCCTCTTTTTGAGACAGGGTTTCATTGGTAATACTGGTGGGTAGAAGTGGGGAAGAAACCTAAGTGGACATTGGATATGTGACAAGACTTTCTTCCAAGGAGACAAATTGGCCTGGAAGTCACAGTCCTCCTGTGTCTACCTTCCAAAGGCTGGGATTACAGTTGTGCACCACTATGCCCAGCTCAAGACAAAACATTTTATTGGATATGTTAAGTAATATAATTTGCAAATATTTTATCTTAGAATTTAAAACACATGACAACTAGGTCATGGATATAGCTTGGTGTTACCAGAGACTAGCTTCCATGAGGCCCTGGTCTGATCCTTAGCACCTCAAAAAAAAAATTTAAAAAGAAAAGCACTTCACACTAGTTCTGTAACATCTACAAAGCTGGCATTACAATCACGTTTGTTTGAATAGGGTCTCATTACGGAGCTCAGGCTGGCGGGGGAACTCGAAATCCTGCCTAGCCTCCTTAGTGATGGTATTAACACGCATGCACCACATCACACAGCTGCTATCATTTCTGTTTTGTTTGTGTTATTGCTCTTGTGTGTGTGTGTGTGTGTGTGTGTGTGAGTGAGACTGGGGTTTGAATGCATGGCTTTGTGCTTGCAAAGCAGGCTCTCTACTGCTTGAACCATACCTCCAGTCCCTTCTTTTTTGTTTTGTTTTTATAATTGACAAAAATGAAAGAAAAATCTACTCTGGTTTTCAGTGGTTAAACTTTAAAAAAAATTCAGAAATAATGAGATTAAATTTACTGGCTAAATTAGCCCTAAACACCGAACCAGAACTCACCATGTTATTTTCCATAATCAGGTACCGATAGGATTTTAAGAGGTTCAGGATCTATTCCCGTGTAGAAATAAGGCCAAATAGTTTTGGTAAAGGCATCATTAAATGTGTAAAGAAGAGATCTATCATTCACATTATAAAAAGAGACCTCACCCATTTCATAGTCTAGAAAAATGCCAACCTTACTGGGTCTCACTTCTGGCAGAAGCCGGGTTCTCCTAGGACCAAATGCAATGTAACCACTCTCAATGTATCGCCCGATGGCCCAGAAGTCACCCAGAACCGCAGGCTGGTTCCGCCAGTTCCTAGGAAGATGGTTTTGACACACACCCAGTGTCCACTTAGGTTTGTTCCCCACTGCTACCTCCCAGTAATGTCGCCCAGAATTAAAAGCCTTCAAACCTAGGACAGCAGGGCAGAGATAAAACCTCCGTGGGCTGTAATAAACATTTTGTCTTGTTCTTCTGTAATGCACCACCTTTCTATCTGCTGACACAGTGAGATGAGGATGTGCTGTGTCAAGGTCAAAAGTCATTTCAACTGGAAATTGCTTGATAATTCTATCCAAGCCAGAATACTGTGGGGGAAGACTGAAACTGTATTTCTTTAAGCTGAAAGAGAAGAGTTCAGGGCATTTTAAGCTTCGGTACCTGTTGCAGATACTCTTAACGCGTGTAAGCAGCGTCAGGTCTGACCTGGCACACTTGTCCTTGACTTCCTTCAGTAGACCTTTTAATGTGGAGGCATGGTCTGAAAGTGTGGCGACATTTTCATTAAGTTTTGTTAAAATGTCCATCTCTTCATCTTGCATCTCCTTAAGAATAGCCTCTTGCTTATTCTGTAAAAACAGTCTGTTTTGCTCAAATTCTGAATTTATTTCTTCTTTCCTATATTCTACCTTCTTTCTCAGCTCTTGGGTTTTGCTGCCTTGCATAATTATCACTTTTTCAACTCGTTCCAAGTTATTCTTCAGGGGCTCAATGCTGCCTTCTAGAATTTTCCTGTGATAAGGGGCAGCTTTCTTAATGGGGCAAATGTAGTGCTTCTCGTGTTCAGCAGAGAAGCTACACTGGGTGCATAGAACCTCCAGGTCCTTCACGCAGAAGAGGGTCAGGAATTGGTTGTGCTTCTCACACACAGGATTCTCTTCCTCCCTTTTCCTCTTGCTCCTTCTGACCTGGAGTAGTTTAGCAATTTCAGTCAGATTCTGGAGCTGGAGGTTCCTCTTGAAGTTTTTGGAAGCAAAGCCAAATCGACAGACAGGGCATGGGAAAGAATCAGTTAGATCCTTCCAGGATGTATGGAGGCAGGAGTAACAGAAGTTGTGCCCACAGTTAATGGTCACTGGGTCTTTGAAGTAATTCAGGCAGATGGGGCAGCCACACTCCTTCTGGAAGTCTTCCAGGGCTGTCTGAAACTCCATTGGGCTGTGGGCAATGCCCCCTTGGCAAGGCCAGTTCCTTGAGCTGAGGACCCAGCAAGGTGTGTCTATCCCTCCCAAGTCCTTAAAGAATGGCCAGCTGTAGGTTTCACTGGCCTGGCATGCAGATGGCAGTCACTGAAGTCTTGTTAAGTCCTCTGTGCCTTAACTCAGAGGACAAGAATTCAACCTTGTAGCTCTATCACAGATGAGCCCATGTGAACTGAAGTTTAATGACTTTCTTCAAGAAAGCAGTCACAGGCCTAATGGACCAATCATACCTGTGGGTGACAAAAGATTTCAATTTCAAAATGTCCTTGACTTGTGCTGGTGGAGTGGCTCAAGTGGTAGAACATGAGGCCCTGAGTTTAAACTGCTATACCACCACAACCACCACCAAAACAAAAAACAAACAAAAAAACCCTCGACTTGAAACTGCAATATCATCATTGATTTGAGTACAAATCATCAATAACTGTAAAAATGATTGGGTAAAAAATCATAAGAAAATATGCTGTTCAATTTTAAACTATCATTCCAAGTTTTATATTTCAATTACAAAGAAATGCATACCTTTATAATGTAGAGTTCTAGAAAATACCACATAACCAGTGATGGGAAAAATGGACAACCTGAAATGAAAAGAAAAACATTACTGCCTAGGGAGAAATTCTGAAAAAAACAATGATTTTACCTGAATTTAATTATAAGGAATAATCATAAAACTCCAAATCATAGAAGATTCAATAACACAATGGTGTTGGACTGTATGAGACAATGGTGTTAAAAAAAAATGCAGGCAAGTTGTTCTAGAATAAAACTAAAGAAACAAGAATAACTCATGATTTTAGCTTGGATAATAGATTGGGCAAAACTACAATAAAATGGATGGTTTGGAGCTGGAAGCTGGTGGCTCATGCCTGTAATCCTGTAATCAGGAGGATTGAGGTTCAAAGCCAATCAGGACAAATAGTTTGAGAGACTCTATCTCGAAAAAACCCATCACAGAAAAGGGATGGCAGAGTGGCTCAAGATGTAGGCCCTGAGTACCAAAAAAAAAAAAAAAGGATCATATGGGATGATACAGGAAATGTGGGTATATACTATTTATTAGATAATAGTATTAATATATCAAATATTAACTTCCTGAATGAGGCTGCAGTGTAGCTCAGTGGTAGAGCACTTACCTAACATGTGCAAGGCCTTGGGTTCAATCCCCAGCCCAGCAAAACAAAAAACAAAAATCTTCCTGATTTTGATAATAATATTTCAGCTACATTAAGAAAATGATCTTACCAGGGTGCTGGTGGCTCACACTTATAACCCTGCAGGAGCATGGGGTATGTGTGTGGGGGTTAAATAGCGGGAAAGCCAGGTTTGTGATTTGACACAGTAGAGGACAGCTATAGTCCCACCTCTCAAGAAGTTAAAGCAGGAGAACTACAAGTTTGAAGCCAAGCTGAGTTACACAGGAAGACACTGTCTCAAATTACCAACAATAATAATGATAAATAAATAATGATAAAAAGATGATAGGGACATGGCTCAAGTGATAGAGCACATGCCTAGCAGACCCAAGGTCCTGAGTTCAAACCTCATATCATAAAAAAAAAAGTTAAAAAATCAGAGCTCTGGTGGCTCATACCTATAATCCTAGCCAATTGAGAGGCAAAGACCTTGAGGATTGCATTCAAGGCTGGCCTGGGCAAAAAGGTCCTAAGACATCATCTCAACCAGTAAAAAGCTTGGAGCCCAGTGCTGGTGGCTCACATCTGTAATCCTAGCTACTCAGGAGGAAGAGATCAGGAGGATCGTGGTTCAAAGCCAGCCAGAACAAATAGCTCACAAGACCCTATCTCGAAAACACCCACACAAAAAAGTACTAGTGGAGTGGCTCAAGGTTTGGGCCCTGAATTCAAACCCCAATACAGCATTAAAAAAAAAAACAAAAACTCGGCATGGTAGTATGGGCCTGCTATGCCAGCTAAGCAAGAAGCTTACATAGGAGAATTGCAGTCCAGGGTGGGCTGGGCATAAAAAACCTAAAGCAGAGGTCTGGGATGAGGCTCAAGTATAGAGTGCCTGCCTAGCAAGCACAAGGCCCTGAGTTCAAACACCAGTACCTCCATGGGAAAAAAAATGACCTTCTGGTTAGAAAATCCTAAAGTTTAACTTACAAATGAAGCAATATTGGTCATTTTGTAAAGACCTCTAGTATACTTAATATATCGTATACGCCTTGTAGGTTTTTTGTTTGTCTGTTTTTTGGGAGCAAAAAGAAAAAAAAAGTAACCTTCTGAGGTTGTGGCTCAAGTGGTAAAGTGCCTGCCTAGTAAGTGTGAGGCCCCGTGTTTAAACCCCACTACTGCCAAAAAAAAAAAAAAAAAAAAAAAAACCTAAGAGTAATCTTCTGTGGCAAGGTTTACTCAGTCACTCATTTTCACACATTTCTTGGGGGCCCCCATAATTCCCAAGAGTCCCTGCTGTTTAGTCCCCTAAATATGCCAAGAATACAGTGCCCAAGTTTTGCTCTTTACCCAGGTCATTCTTCAGGCTCCTAAGGGTGTCATAAGCACCCTTAGAAGATGAGGTAAAATGTCATCGGGACAAAACAGGGTTGTCATAAAGGTATCCCCAATTCCAGGTTCACTGGTTATGATACAAGCTTTTGTTGTATACAGCATCTCTGAGGGTTCTTCCACCATCACCTCTGTGGGGCCTGGGATGGGTGGGGAATCTACACAAAGAATGTTCATGCAGCTGGCTGCAACAGGAAAAATAAAGACATCTCTTACCAAGGAATGTTGTCTTCTGCTAGCAGACAAGAAATATCAACAGGTAAACCTTTTCTTTTTGGCAAGACTAGGATTTGAACTCAGGGCTTCCTGCTTGCAAAAGCAGACACTGTACCACTTGAGCCACACCTCCAGTCCATTTTGCTTAGGTTATTTTGGAGGCCGGGTCTTGGGAACTATTTTCTCTGGGTTGGCCTCAAGCCATGATCCTCCCACACAGTCTCCCAAGTAGCTAGGATTACAGACAGGAGCTACCACACCTAGCCGATTTTTTTTCTTTTATATTTTGATATGTTTATTGATTCACAGGAATTTTGAAGAGTATAGAGGGGTTCTATTGTACCTTTCACGTAGTTTCTCCTGTTATTGACCTACAAGAGCAAGAAATAACATTGATGGAAGAAGGCATCATGTAATTTATGTAGACTCACATCTCCACCACCATGATCAAATTACAGAACTAGTCCCAGTACCTTCCTTGTGCTGTGCTCTTAGAGCCTGTAAGTAGGGTAAAATCCCAACCCTGATTATTTGGAATTACTACCTGCAACTGTAAGTGTAGACTTTTAATTTATAAGAATGTAATTCACAAGAATTTATAAGGAAGTCATAACATTAACTGGTGAAAATAGCAGTATCATACTAAATCCTTAAATCCACCATCCTTTCCTGGTATTCACATAACAGTGTATAGCCTTCCAAACCTACATTGAAATTCTTCATCATATAGCGTTCTGTTCACCCTCTTAAATTGGAGAAAAAAATTAAGATTCTTACATCATATATGACAATGTAAACAGATACTACTCAATTAGGTAGTAGTCTCTAATTGTGTTTACTCAACACAGCCACTTAACTAGCAAAGTCATTCAGAAACTGAATTTCTCTGAACTCGAATTTCTAATTCAGAAAATTGGATGCATTACCTGAGAAACTGTATGGAAGGATGTTTGTCATAGTGTCTGACTCAAAACATGCTCAGCCAGGCATTGGTTGCTGAGGCCTGTTATCCTAGTTACTCAGGAGGTAGAAATCAGGAGAATTGAGGTTCAAAGCCAACCTGAGCAAATAGTTTGCAAAACCCTATCTTGAAAAAACCCATCATAAAAAGGGGGATAGGGGAGGCACTGAGGAGTGGCTCAAGGTGCAGGGCCTGAGTTCAAATCCCAGTACCACAAAAACAAAAAAAAACCAAAAAAAACACTGGTGGAGCTACTCAAGAAGTAGAGTGCCTTCCTAGCAAGTGTGAAGTACTAAGTTCAAACTCCAGTACTGCCAAAAGAAAAAAAAGAGAAGAAACAGAGGGCAGCCTGGGCTACAAAATGAGTTCAGGTCAATCTGGCCTATCTCAAAAAAAAAAAAAACAAAAAACAAAAACTGGGAATGTAGCCCAACTGGTAGAGCCCTTACCTAGTAAGTGCAAGACCCTGAGTTCAAACCCTAGCACCAATTAAAAAAAAAATGACATCTGCTCATGACCATAATTTAGTAGAAAGTCACATAGATTCTAATTTTGAAAGAGCAGCAAGATATTCCATTTCTTAAATTACAGTATTTTTCAATTGTAAAGAATTATACAAAATGACAATGTGTCTTTCAATTTCTTATTAGCATATATTAGTTGTACTGGAGTTTCATGTGACATTTACATATGTGCTTACAATGTATCTTAAATTAAATTCACCCCTCCATTATTCTCCCCCATTCTCCTTTCCCCCATTCTTAGAACAATTTCAACAGGTTTCAGTGTTCTATTTTCATACACCTACATAAACCACATAGACCATATTCTCCCTCAATTCTTCTCACCTCCCAATCTAAGTTTACAGTGCAAACCATGCCTGGGAATTCTGAAATCAGAAGGAGCAATTATGTTGCTAGTAAAAAAATAAAATAAAATAAGCCTCACACTTAGGACTGGGGATGTGGCTCAAGTGGTAAAGCACCTGCCCTTTTTGTTTGTTTGTTTTGGTTTTTTCCTAGATAGGGTCTAGCAAACTATATGCCAGGACTGGCCTTGAACTGTGACCCTCCTAATCTCTGCCTCCTGAATAGCTAGGATTACAGGCATGAGCCACTGGAGCCCAGATGGCTTTGTTATCTTTGACACACCCATCCCTCAATCACTTCTATAACTCTATGGCTTTTCAAACACAAACCTAATCCTATTACCTCCCAATTTCCAACCAACAATAGCTTTTCATTACTCCAGGAATAACAAGACTTGGATAGAGAATCTACCTAGCAAATGTGAGGCTGTAAACCCCGGTCCACCAAAAAATAAATAAAACTAAAATAACAAGGCTTATTGGGCACCAACACCTGGACACCA